TTGTTGTTAAGTGCCATCAAGTGGCTTCTGACTCATAATAACCCTGTATAGGTTTCTGAGGAGAGGCTGGTAGGTTTGAAACGCCGACCATGTGGTTCACAATTCAGTGTTGATCCTACAGCACTACACCTTGCTACCCTCAGAGAATGAACAGGTGTATTGATGTGGTAGAAAAATTTCTCAGTGCAACTTTCCTGGCCTTTTTCTCACCAACACAGTTTTCAATTTTCTTGGTTCTTCATAAGTCTCTTTGATCATCTTGTGTCCTATGAGAAAATCTATCAAGATTACCCCTTTGGAATCCCTCAAAACAGTTTCCATAACTTTCTGAGCTGTCCTCTGTGCCTTGAATTTCCTGACTCAGCAGATCTTTATGATGAGTAAGAACAGGAACCCTAGTAGCAATATATTTTGACTTAACCTCATATGTTACATGGAAAATACAAAAACGATGGTAATAGTTGGGGTAGGTCCTAAGGAACTAAAATGACATCACAACAGTTGTTCATTTCTACTAATTGCATCTTAGCAAAATAATACTTTTTGTCTACCCAACTGAAACCATAAGATTAAATGCCATATTGAAGAATAAGAGGATTTTAGAAAAGAGGCAGCATGCCATACCACAAAACTCTGAAAAATACACACACACACAAGGATAAGTTAAGTTTTGCTACTAGGGTTCGAGTTCATACATGCATGGATTTATTTCAAATAAAATGTGTTTAGACATGCCTCTGCCATCAGTGGTTGATTGTAGCCAAGTTCTCTGAGCAATGCACTCATCTTAGTTTCATTAGGTCACCCTTAAGAAGAGAAGACCAATCAAATTAGTGACTTCTGAGGGGATCTGCTGAGCCAATTCAATTCAAGGCAGAGGGGTCAGTACAGAAGGTTGTGGCAACTGTTTTGAGAATGCCAAAGCAATAATTTTGATAGATTTTCTTGAAGGACAAAGGATGATTATGGGGGCTTATTAGAAGAAATGTTAAGAAAATTGAAAAGAGAATTGGTGAGAGAAAAAAAAAAAAAAACAAGAAAGTTGCCCAGGAATTTTTTTTTCTTTCTCTCCATCACAACAAATGAACCTGCTCACTCTTGCAAAGTAGGAAGGGCTGTTCTACAAGAATTTTGTTGGAAAATCTTTCCCCATCCACCCTACAGCCCATACCTTCAAACTTTTTTTTGTTCTCCAACCTCAAAGAACATGGACATTTAAAAGGAACACAATTTACATCCCTCAAGGATGCCACACTACCATTTTGACATGATGTAAATTGAAAAATATAGAATTCTTCAGGGAAAGGGTGGTGGTGTTAAATGCTGTCAAGTCATTTTGGGCCCATAGCGACCCTCTATGGGGTTTCCAAGGAGTGGCTGGTGAGCTTGAACCACTGACCTTGTAGTTCAAATGACTGTAGTCCAGCACATTAAAGAAATGGAAATGTCACTTTCAAAAGTATAAAAATCATGAGGGGGTGATAAAGGCACTAAGTGACTGGCTTACAAGATTTCAAGGGGGAGTTTAGTTTAATAGTGTGTGGAGGAAGAAAGAGTGCCCACTGAATAGTTTTCATATTGTCTAGATGGGTCTAGTTAAAAGAGATGGGTATTAGATTCTTATGATTCAATAGTGAGTAATTGTGATCATTACTAATTGCAACTGTCACAATTGTAAAGGTAAAAGTTTTGTGAAAAAACAGGGAAGTCGTTAATCTTACAGTCCAGAAACAAAGGACCCTAAGACCAGCAAGGGAAAAGAGCACAAGCAGAATGAGAGACTATCAAGAGAAGCAGCAACACCAGAGATGGAGGCAGAGATGGGGACATGGAGAGAGGGAACAGCTGAGATTCATGGGAAGAAAGGGACTAAGCAATAGCGGCCAGGAGGCAGACTTGCAGAATGTGCCCTTTAGTGGTATAAATAATTATATATGCTTGAGTGTTTAAAAAACAAAGAGCTAAAGTGAATAGAGAGAAATACTGTTAACTGATGGTACATGGAGGGGATTGTAATCATTGTAATGAAACAAAGTATATGATTTGTTGGATGTAAAACTGATGGATGATCTGCCCTGTAAACTTTCACTCAATTCACAATAAAAACTTAAAAAAAAAAAAAAAAGTCTATAAACCTAGATGGAGACTTTGTAAAATAAATAAATAAATAGCTTCACATTTTGATATTTTTGTTTAATAAAGGTTTCTATGATTTTGTAGCAATACTTTTTGACTATAAATTGTTAATCATTTTGGGTTTCCTGAAGCCACTTTATTTGAAAATCAATTTTCAAATAAATTGAAGATTCTTCCTACCTGCACAGCACTGCAGGGTCCATTACTATCAATAGGGATAACTAGAGTGCTGAGCTAGCTGTCCATGGTATTATGTGAGTGTGTGTGGTTTTTTTCCTTTTGCTGAGTGAAGGGGAAAATCAAATAATCAACATGTGAAGATAAGCGAAATGCCTACTGAGTTTATTGAAGGGTATGACTGGCAATCACTAAAGCAATCATTGTCCACTTGAACAGATTCAAGTTCAAAAGGAAGCTTCTTCAGTAGTTTCTAAAACGAAAGGAATTAAACAGTTATATTACCACTTACACTCATTTAGGTCATTACCATATGGATTCTCTTCTTCCCTTTGTCTGGCTTGGCTTCCACTCAGACCTCTTGCACTGTGTGGAAAAATGTTGCAGTCAGACATGAGACTGAGCTGAAGAAAGAATGCCACCCTAAAACATCCAGGAAAATGCCTAATCATAACTACTCCTGTCATCTAACATGTTTGCACAACTACAAATTTGGCAAAATTGACCAATCTTGAAATGAGTTCAGAGATAAACTTATGGTAGGCAAACACTCCAGAAACAAACACTCTGGAAACAAACTCATGTTTTCATGGAGTGATCTTCTTTGAACATTTTATATAACGTCATTTGACTTTTGGCACTGGGGGATAAGCATTGGACTGCTAACCACAAGGTTGACAGTGCAAAGCCACCCACCGCTCCTCGGAAGAAAGATGAGGCTGTCTGATCCCAGAAACCGTATGTAGGATCGTATGAGTCGGAATTGACTTGATGCCAGCAAACTTGACTTTTGGTGTTGTTTTTTATAAGGCTCCTATGGAGCTCTGGTAGTGTAGTTGTTACAAATCCAGCTGCTAACCTCAAGGTCCACAATTTGAAACTACCAGCGGTTCCGCGGGAGAAAGATGAGGCTTTCTGCTCCCGTAAAGATTTACAGTCTTGGAAACCCTGTGCAGGGTCGCTATGAGTCATTACCAACTCCACGGTACTTAACAACAACAACAACATGGCACTGTAGTATCAGTGATCCACCAATCACTCCCAGAAATCCTATACAGGGTTGCTGTGAGATGAATTCAACTTGAAGGCACTTAACAAAACCCTGGTGGTTTAACAGTTAAGGCCCTTCCTTGGCTGCTAACAGCAAGTTGGTGATTGAAAACCATCCAGTGACTCCAAGAGGGAAAATCCCACCTATCTGTTCCTGTAAAGATTACAATTTAGCCAAGAAGCCCTTTGGGGCTTTCTACTCTGTCTTAAAGGATAAATAAGAGTAGAAAATCAAGTCAATGGCACCTGACAAAAACAAGATGACTCAAAAGTTGGCACTGAACTGCTCAATCAAATGATGGCATTTCAAACCCACCCACCAGTACCAAGGAAGAAAGGCCTGGTAATCGGTTCTACTTAGATTACAACCAAGAAAATTCTATGGAGTAGTACTACTCTGTAACACGTTATCATAAATTGGTACCCACTCAATGACAACTAATAACAGTCATATTATTTATTTAAATGGCAGCCTACTTTCTTGATGACATTGCCAGAAAAGAAATAGTTTTTGTGCCTAAAATTAATTTGGCTGTACTTATAGATACTTGGAAACCCTATACAGGGTCGCTGTGAGTTAGAACTGACTCAACCGCACTTAACAAAAGATTCTTCTTAATCTTGTTGTACTGTAATAAGGACTGTAATGACATTCTTATTGCACAATACAATATTAAAGAGAAAGAAAAGAATACTGCTGACAAGTCCTATTCTTTTATCAGTAGCGTTGACAATATTTTAATTTCTCTAATGGATTATAAAGCAGGGAATTCTAGATGAGAATAAAAGCAGCCCCTTTAGTTAGTGGAATAGCTTGGACCTCTCAAAAATTATATTTGTAATTCACATCAATTCTGTGCAAGTATTTGGGTTGGTTTCATATGTCAAATGCAAAGGGGAAGCCTTAGCAAGGACACTGTTTCTTGCTTCAAATGAGGTAGGCTAAAATGATACACAATTTTTTCTTTCATACACTGAACTCCCCTCTGTTTTTGTTCCTGCTTCTCCCCTGCGTGGAGATGACTCCTCCTTTCTGCAGCTCAGAGGATCACAGGCTGATTGAAGAACACAGCTTCAGACTCCAGCTTGTGCTGAGACTCCCTGTGACTTGCTAGCTCCCTAGCTTTCTCTTTGTCTTTCTATCTCTCTTTCTGTGAACCAGCAGAACTGAAATCTACCTGACATCTGCCTGCCTCTGAATCTTTCTACTGCTCTTAAAAGTGAATAGAGTTTGATTACCTCAAGCAAAAGCTGCTTTGCTACATAAGAAGAACTCAAAAGGAAGGACCCAGGCATCATTATTTTTCAGTCTACCTGAGGAGCTTTTGCTTTTTTTACTTGGAACTTGAGGGTGGGAGGGAATTCTTTTGTGTTTTTGTTTTTTGTTTTGGACTTGTGTGTTTTTAATGGAAAGGTTGGTTGAAAAGTCTTGTTGACATTTTGAATGGAATGAATTTTCAATCAGGGTTCATTCTGATCTAGAAGAGACATGCCTGACAATTTCCTACAGAAGTAACCAGGGGAATTAGAGGGAAACTTGGAGAAAATGAAAACAACATTGCCACTAACAGTTATTCTTTATTTTGAGAAAATTTACAGACTCGTTGAAAAGGGAAATTAAATATTGAGAACGGACAATGTCTGTATTTCTCAGTAACTTGTCAATAAATGACTCTAGTCTGTGGAAGGAAAATAAGAATAATTCTACGGACCTTTTAAATCCTCCAGGAACTCTGAATATCTTCCTTTTTTGCCTGACATGTTTCATGACTCTTGCAGCCCTGGCAGGCAGCATTTATTCACTAGTTTCCCTGCTGAAAATGCAGAACAGAACAGTTGTGTCCATGCTTGTGGCTTCCTGGTCTGGGGATGATCTCATGAGCGTCTTGTCGGTGACCATCTTCATGTTCTTGCAGTGGCCAAATGAGATCCCTGGCTACTTCCAGTCTCTGTGCACCACTTCTGCCTTACTGTACCTATGTCAAGGCCTCTCGAGCAACTTGAAGGCGACTCTCCTTGTCTCGTACAACTTTTACACCATGTACAGGGCCGTGGGGAGCCAGGCAGCCTCCAGAAGATGCGGCCAGGTGCTTGGCGTGGCGCTGACCGTGTGGGCAGCCAGTCTGCTGCTCTCGGCGCTCCCGCTGTGCGGCTGGGGCGCCTTCGTGCGCACGCCCTGGGGCTGCCTGGCCGACTGCTCCAGCTCTTACGTGCTGCTCCTCTTTGCTGTGTACACTTCGGCCTTCGGACTCTTAGCCGGCCTATCTGTGCCACTCACTCACCAGTTGCTGTGTTCGGAGGAGCCGCCCAGGCTCCACGCCAACTACCAGGAAATTTCCCGCGGAGCTTCCACGCCCGGGACCCCTTCCGCCGGGGGGAGAATGCTTTCCGTATCCCCGGAGGAAGCCCCAGGCCCAGCCCTGCGATGCTCTAAGGGATGCTCCCCGAGCTCCGACTCTGTGTTTGGACCGGGTCAGTCTGCCAGTGGCTGGCCTGGGCAGGGGCCGGGGCGTGGCGCTGCTCCTGGCTCTGGGGCTGGAGTCTGCAGGCGTGAGAACCGGGGCACTTTCTATGGCTCCAGAAGCTTCACCGTGAGCGTCGCGCAGAAGCGCTTCTCTTTGATCCTAGCGCTGACAAAAGTCATCCTCTGGCTACCTATGATGGTAAAACTGGGGTTGCTCCTAGTGTGCGAATGTGTGTGTCAGGTGTGTGAATGCGTGTTGGGTCCAGCGTCCCTGGTTTGGAGAGTCACCCGAGCCACTCGCAGCTAAGTCCAGCCCGCTTCCAATTGCATCTTGCTCGATTTTGGAGACTCGCGCGGAGACAGATTACCAGCAGGGAGGATCCATCCTAAAGTCTTTGCACCGAAGTGTTTCTTATTCCAAAATTGTGAATAAGTCGATGGAGGGAAGAGACGTTCCCTCTGCGTTCTAGTTAGTTTTCCTAGATTTGTTGTGACCAAAGGTGTTCTCATGTCTCAGGCAGCGAAATCTGGGAGTACTCAGAAAGGCAGGGAGGTGGTAGGTGTTGAGATTCTTTTTCCAAAAACCCTCTTCCATTCCTTTCCCTCCCCTCCATTCCTACTTGGTGAGGAAACCTCCTATCTCCAGCAGGGAGAAAGGAGAGGAGCCATCAGCTTAAGAAAAGAGGGCGAAACAGGCGATGGTCCTGTTGGGAGTTGGCAGGGTGGCGCCCTAGTGTGACAGGAGCGCCTGGGCATGGGTGAAGGACAAAGGCCATCTGGTGTGCCAGACGCAGATTCCACGGGTGCATATCTGTTTCCCGGGGTTCATGTTTCCTATCTGTAGAGTGTGACTCTCTGGTGGCAATTTGAGTTGGCAGATGGTATAAACCTGACTTCCAATAGCAGAAACCCTTAAAGCCCTGTGTGGCGCAGCAAAGGGAATCCCACCAGCTCTGGGAATCTGCTCCAAAGGCAAGTGCGGAGCCTAGGAGCAGAGTTTTAAGCTCTGAGGCAAGAAAGGGGCCTGCCTGGTGAAGGCTGCTGAAGCAGCATGCTTCAGAGAAAGACTTGGTGACGTGGAAAATATGATCTTGAGTGTGGTCTGAAGCTCTCTCCCCTTTGCAGATCCACATGGTGGTCCAGCACGTGTTGGGGTTTCAGAGCATTCCCTTCGAGACACTCAGTTTTCTACTAACCCTGCTGGCCACGACGGTAACCCCAGTGTTTGTCTTGTCCAAACGTTGGACCCACCTACCCTGTGGCTGCATCATCAACTGCAGGCAGAATGCATACGCAGGTGCAACAGTTGAGAAGAAAAGTAAGTCCCTGACAATGTGTGGGTGGAAGTAAAGTGCATTCAGTCAAGTAAAGTAGTCTATTTGAGAAAGTTGTCTGAGAGGGAGATGAGGTGCTCAGGGACAAATGTGAATGGTAAATAGACACAGTTATAATGTGAAACAATTCTTAGCACTGTGTTAAAATAGATTTTGAATGAGACATCTTAGCCTCAAAAAAAATTTACGAGTTGATTATTGTAGCTAAGAAAGCAAAAACAAATAATTTTTTTCAACAGAATGAAGCCAACAAAGATCCTTAAATGTTGTATCACCAAAGTTTTAAGCCTCCTTCCAAATTTGCATATAAAATTTGCTTGAGAAGCCTGCATCTGAACAAAGTTAGATTATAATTATTTAATACTTATAATGATTTAATGGAACAGTAAGAAAAAAAAGTTATCATTATGTTGCTGCTTGTATTTTTCCAGGGTTTTGGAAAGCTTTCAGAGTAAGCAATGATAGTATCTGTGAAGAGTTTCAAAGCCAAATTGAAACATAGACATCTGCTGTAAAAATTAAAATCCATACACTTCAACTCCAGGAAAGGATAAAAATGGCAATATTTGCCATGTATGTTTTTAATGTTTGAGTCTATTAATACTATTTACATTTTTTAAAAGAAATGTATGTGTTAAAGAACATACCAAGTTGGGGGTGAGAAAATAGTTCATTTCCAAAATTTTTAAACTGTAGTTTCCCCCTATTTTCTAATATAGGAGAAGTGAAGACTGGCCTGTATATTTCAACTCTCAAAGGAAGAAAAAAAATATTGTAGTCATTCAATACAAAAGATAAGATGTAATATTTAATAAATCTAAGAATGCATTAGTTGATGTTGAAGTTTACTATCCCATTACTCATAAAGAATCAGGATAAATACATATTTCTTTATCAGAAAAAAAATATTAAGTAAAAATAGTTCACCTCAAACTATTTTAAAGTTGTAAAAATGTGACAGACATCCAGGTATAGTTTCCAATTAATTCAACAACAGGTTACTTTATAAATATTAACTAATCAGGAGCTCTGGTAGCATAGTGGCTACAAGTCGGGCTGCTGACCTCAAGGTCAGGAGCTCAAAACTACGAGCCATTCTATGGGAGAAAGATGAGGCTTTCTACTTCTATAAAGATTTACAGCCTCGGAAACCCTATGAAGGGTCACTGTGAGTTGGCACCAACTCCATGGCACACAACCACAACCACCAATCATGAATTGGGCATTTTTTATGTACTGATGACTTTTAAAAGTTAGTCTTTCTAAATATTTTTCAAGTGATCAGAATATATATATTTTATTGTTAAGAATGTCTTAGTCTAGAAGTGCTACTGCACCATTGCTGACTCTGTTAGTATTTAAAATACCAGTGGCATAGCTTCCAGCATCTAACAAAATGCAAGCCACCACAACAGGACAAACTCACAGACAAGTGCTTGGTTTTATTGCTAATAAATGTTAAATTCACTGATATCTTTATAGTTACATTATTATACTTGTAATAATAATGTAGCATTTGTAATAAGCAGAAAATTTAAAAGGTAGCACTATTTTGGAGGATATAAGACATCATTGATAAGCCTGAAAATTAACATCCTAACTAAATTTAAGTTTTTGCCACTACATAAGCCTTTCATATGACAGTTAAGATTCTAAGAGTGACAAGAAGAGTCAACTACCAGTGAGAATACAAAGTTTTAGCAAAGTGGGTTGGGGCAATTATTTGTAAGGAGTGCAGGATGTCGCACCAGAAGCTGAAGACACAGCAGTGAACTTGGCCTGCCACTCATTGCACAGGCCTTGGAAATAGTCTATATCTTTTCTACCATACCAGATTGAAAAGCATACAGCAGGCTAGCAGAAATCAGCAATCATGTTAATGCCACATTTTAAAAAAAAATTAAATGCATGGCTTTCAAGATGGCAAAAGAAGGACTGAGAAACATTATTTTATGCTGCTTAGTTCAAATGACTCCATTCCCTCTTCCAAGCTCTGCCGCAGGGGAATTCTGAAATTTGGAATGGAGTGTGTTAAACTTTCCTATTGCTAGGAAGATGCAACAACAGAATCTTGAAAGCCCAGAGATGGCTGTCTCAGGTGGGCTGTGTACTTGATCAGGAAGAGTGCTAAAATTCTAAGCAAATGTAGTTGAAGTTTTGCATTTAAGCTCTTTTTCCCTAAGCACCCTCCCTTTACATTCTGTATTAGTGAACTGCAGAACCAAGGAAGGAAAAATATGTATGCACGTATATTTTATATTTATTATTTCTGAACTCATTTAAGGAGCCCTGGTGGCTTAGAGAGTTAAGCATTGGACTTCTAACCACAAGGTCGATGGTTTTAACCCAAGGTTATATACTTCCATGAAGATTTCAGCCTCTAAAACCCTATAGGAAAGTTCTTACAAAAACCCTGTAGGATCACTATGAGTAGGAATCAATTTGATGGTAATGGATAATTCATATTTACCATAAATTCACTTTGCATATGTAATTATGAATGTTCATCTCAGTTTTACTGAATGGTAACTGAGAAATAGGCAACTAGATGATGAATTTGAGTCCTGGGAAATAATTCACAAAAATAGCTATTTTGTTTATAACAATATCTGTACTTATCAACATTTGAAAATGAAAGTGTTAAAAGCAACAAACACTAGGAAGATGACTTTAGCACCGAAGTGGCAGACACATGAGTTGGCTATAGATTTCAAACTCCTTTATCTTTCTTTCTTTTTTTTTTTAATTAAACAGTTAAGCTTATTTTCTATAAAAAAACAGATTTCCCGCTTTAATTTTTTAACAAAATTAGAGTATTAGTAAGTGACATATTACTCTAAAGAATTCTGATCTATTAACTGATATAATTATTTATGTCTAAAATTATCATTAACAAGCTGTGACTAACAGCAAAAGACGAGAACTAATTCATGTTTTATGTGCATTTTGAAACAGTGAACCTTTGGATTTTTAGAGCAAATACATTCTTTTTCAGAACTATAGTATAAAGAACCAAATATTCTTGGCTATATTCAGATTGCCTTTAAGTTTATTACAATTTATTAGTCAATGAAAGATCTGTGACTACACACAATTTTTTTTCTTTTAATAACCCAGCCATTTTACCCCCTAGGAACTCTAATACCTTTGAGGTCTTACGCCTATAAATAAATCAATCTTTTAAAAAATATAATTTCTGTTGAATCATATTGTATTTAGTCAGAGTCACTGAGTCAAGTCCATACTGTCAAAATCCCTCCCTGTACCACCAGGCATGATTCCTACAGCTTGCTTCATTTACCTGTTCATTCCTTTACTCATTCAAGTCACTTAATGAATATTTATTAAGGGAGTCACCACTATATGTGTGGCACTATTCAATAAGGAACAGAAATTACCAATGGGTGGCCCTTGAGCTGTATTTAGCACAAAGATGTGGTTTTATTACTGGTGTGGCACACCGTAGGATAAGCACTGAACCACAAGGTTGGTTTGAACTGCAAGGTCAGTGGTTCAAACTTACAAGTTGCTCCTAGGAAACCCTATACAAGGTCACTATGAGTCGGAACCAATTCGACAGCACTTAACAAAAGCAGTCACTTTTAATGAATTTTGATGTTGTGTCAATATTTTAAGATTAGACTTTAAGATCTCTTAGCCTACTTCACACTGCCTCTTTCTCCTCTGGATGCGGAGGGAAACTCCCATTCACACATTCTGCACATTTCTTGAAGCATCATACTCATTTTTGCTTTACAAATTCTCATAGTTAAAATATGTGGTTAATAAAATATATAGCTACAATATTTTATTGTGATAAGTATATCAATTTTTTATTGTGATAAGTACATCTGTAATAAATTGTTTGACTTTTCATCATTCTTCACATGTAAAATTCAATGACATTAGTTATGTAGATCCTGTTATTTTTTCAAATTTTATATCATAAAATTGAGATTTCATGAAGCTTTCTTAGTGGCCTTCAACTGAAAACTGGTCACATTATATCTTTTTTTGGAGAAAAGAGAAAGAAATCAATAATTAAAGAATTATTTTCTCTACATTTCATGCTGTTAAAGTTAGTTAAAAATCCTAATTTAACTCCTGATGTGATGCTATAGGATAAGCACTGGACCAAAAAGGTTGGTTTTACCCTCAAGATCAGTGTTTCAAACTCACCAGCCGCTCCTCATAAAGCCTATACAGAGTCGCTATAAGTTGGAACGGACTCGACAGCACTTAACAAAAACAACATATTACTAAAAAATAAGTAAAAATATAAATAAGTTTTTTCCATTCTCTTTGAATATAAATTCTTGTTTGTATTCTGGTTCAAACAATAATAAATGCTTCAAAACATACTTTTCAGACAGAAAAACTGGCTTGTAAACCCTCAATTCTGGGAACATTTCAATAATAGAATCAGCGTTGGAAAGACATTTAGGGTATATTGTAAATCGAATCAAAATTTTACTGTTTTTCCCATAGAAACTATATAAATTTTTGTAATTCTATCCTCCAAGGATGGCTAAATGCCTAACTATAAAATACAGAGCTATCAATGCAGAAAATTTATCTAAAATGATCCATGTACTGAAAGATGAAAACTAAAATATTAAATTACATTTGCCCTAGCACCATGTTATAACTTCATTCTTAATATATTAAAGTTACCCAGAATTTAGTGACATTCACACACACAAGAAAATCACTTTCTGTCACATCCTTACTAGTTGCTCTAATAAGTCTTTGTACCAAATCCTCCAAATAATAGTATTATATTTAGAATACGATCATTTTTCACCTGATTTAAATCATAAAAGTTTTAAGCATTCCTCCTAAAGTCATCTATAATTAATCAGCTTTATAGACTTGTTACAAAGTGCCTCGGTTCACAGAATATAAATTCATTCACATTTTTATAAATTTACTTCAAATTTATTATCATCAGAAATGTATTTCATTATTTTTTAAAAGTCTAAAAAATGTATCATAGCATAAATGTCCTCATGTGGTACTGTAGACTAAGCACCTGGACTGCTAACTGCAAGATCAGCTGTTCAAACCCGCTAGCCACTCCTCAAGGTCACTATAAGAACTGACTTGATGGCACTTAACAACAACAACATGCATTTTATAAGTACATAAATATTAGAAATGGTGCTGTGGGTTAATGCGCCAGATTGCAAAGTCGTTTGAACTGCAAGGTTGGTGGTTTAAGCTCACCAGCTGCTCCTTGGAAACCCTATATAGGGTCGCTACGGGTCAGAACTAACTCAACAGCACACAACAACAACAGATGTTAGGAATGATATGCATCAAACTGTTAAAAGCAATGATATCTGATGGTGGTATATGCACATATTATTACAGATACTAAAGTTACTTATAAATTTTATTTTTAGCAAACTAAAATTTATAAAATATATATTTTATCCAAGACAAAAAAAAATGGTTTAGAATAATTGGTAGACTAAAAAAATACTAAAACTTAACGTATTTGAGAGTCTCCTTATTTCTAGTCTAAATATGGAAGTTAAATATAACAAAAGATTGAAAGACTCCTTGGGATTGCATTTACTTCAATCCCATCATTGTGCAAATTAGAAAAATTAGGCCCAGAGTGATGAGATGACATGATTTTGTGAGCCATAATTGCTTTGTATAATTGACAAGAAGTTACGTGAAGTCTGTTATTAATTCATAGTAATTAGGGTGAATACACTTTCCTATTTGTATTCACTAGGTATAGTCCACTGTTGTTTACATGTATCTTACTAACCATGGAAATTTGGTTTTACTTTCACTTAGCCAAAAGAAGCTTTGAATTCAACTTATCATTCCAACGAAGTTATGGAATTTATAAAATAGCACATGAAGATTACTATGAGGATGATGAAAATTTTATATCCCATCACAACCGGCTGAACTATGATTGTGAAACTACAAAGGACTCTCAGAGAGACACCCGCAATTTCTTCAGTGCCATCAAAGTGGGAATCAGCACCACACCCTCTCCTGACAGCTCCACACTAAGAGGCATCAACAAATGCACAAACACTGATATTACAGATGCTGCACATGATTCTGACAAAGGCCAGAGCATTGACCCTATGATTTCTGACAAAACAGGAGGTAACATTAACTATGAAGAAAACACCTTTTTGGAAGGCTCAGAAAGAAGGCTTTCTCATGAGGAGAGCCAGAAACCAGACCTTTCAGATTGGGAGTGGTGTAGAAGTAAATCAGAAAGGACCCCTCGTCAGGTACAGTAAAGTTGTTCTTCTTGTGAAATTAAAAGTGAGACCAGATATGATGGGCATAAAATGATCTGTTGTTTATTTCATTCCATCAAGCACAATTTTGTATTCGCTTCCTGCAATTAATTTCCATCAGGCTACATTTTATTTCAATGTGTCTTTGGAAGGGCTTAAAAAAAAAATCAGTTATGCATTTTCATCCAAAATCTATGCATTTCAGAATGAATAGAGTTAAATGGGATCTTTGACAGGGATAGGGAGTTCTATATTAACCTCAAGCAAGCTGCTTAAATTCAAAGGAGATGCTTAGAACTTATGTCTCAAAACAGTTTGCTTTGGTTTTTACTTTCCCTTCCCTATTTAGAAAGTATCCCAAGGGCACCCAAGAGAAGTTTCTCTTTTAAGAAAAGACAAATATTTAAACAAACAGCAGTGAGACAGCATGTCCTGCTGCAATTATACTAAATAACTTGCCTGTCATCCTTGTTAGTACTGGTCCCTCCAGTTCCCAGCAGGGAAACAAAGATCTGTTGCAGAATATAGTCAGCTTAGTGAGTCTTTCCAAGTCCTGCTCAAAGCTCATCCCTTTGAGGATGAAAGAATGCTGTCTTAAGTTTCATAATACTAAAATAATTTGCACCTGAGCCTTATCTCATTCTCTTGTAGTTTCCAATCTGCCTAGAATGATGAGGGGTTCTTCTTATTTTATTGCAACTTCAGTGTGACATGGATATAAGATTGTTCTTTCTTTCAAACTCTAGTATCTGATAATTAAAGGTGACTTTGCTTTCCACACTATTGATTTCCTAGGAAGACAGAGCTTTTTTATACATGGTTTAATGAAAATCAGAGTTTGCTTGTACTTCTGTTCTTGTTGTTAAGTGCCGTTGAGTCAGTTCTGATTCATAGAGACCCTTTATGGGGTTTCCAAGGAGCAGCTTATAGATTTGAACCTCCGACATTGAGGTTAGTAGTCCAGTACTTATCATACAGTGCCACACTTAAGTCTCTGAAAGAAAAACATCATTCTATAAATATTCTGCTAGGAATAATGCATTTATTGATCAAAAATAAAAGCATACGTTACCAACTGTGAACATGAGTGAACCTTAGTGATGTAGTGGGTTATGCACTGGGCTGCCAATCACAAGGTAAGTAGTTTGTATTCACCAGCCCCTCTGTGGGAAAAAAAAAGAGGAGGATTTGTAGTCCCTTAAAGATTTACAGCCTCAGAAACCCTGCATAGGATCGCTACAAGCCAGAACTAACTCAGTTGCAGTGGGTTTGGTTTTTTGGGAGTTTAATGAACATGAGCAGAATGATCTTAGACTTCAATTACTCTCTTTGTTTAATTAAAGTTAATTAAAAGTCTCACCCTAGGAGTGAGTTGAAATAGTAAACCTTAACATACAAAATGTATTATTATAGATAATAATTGTGCATCTTACTTAACTACTAGAAATTATAGAAAAATATCACTAAGTTCTTGCCTAAATTGAATAGTAGAATGAAAAGCACAGATTAAAGGACCCAATGCTCAGCATTGTTAGAACAATATAATACCCCAGCTAAGAGGGAGAATCCCTACAATTTTGCCATCAATTTGTTCTTGAACAATATAAATCTCCTGTTTTCTTGTACTTAAAAAATGAAATAATATTTATGGCGAAGCATTTGTACGTGTGTGTGTGTGTGTGTGCATGCCAAGAAATTGCAACTACCTTATATGTTGGAGTCCTGGTATGGCACTGTGGGTTAATGCGCTGGACTGCAAAAGTCAGTTGGAACTGCCAGGTCAACAGTTCAAGCTCACCAGCTGCTCCTTGGAAACCCTATATACAGAGTCACTGTGGGTCACAACCGACTCAACAACACTTAACAACAACAACCTTGTATGCCACTGCCTTATCCTTTCCTCATGGTTACACTTTAGGGGTTACAGATATATTGCTCTTGAGTTTTATTATTTTATCACAAAAACACATACTTCCAAAATTATATTCTTAGCTTTGTTGACTTTGAGTTTTCTAAAGATGGTATCACACTGTACATAATCTAGGACTTTCTTTCCTTCAGTCAACTCTATTTCTTATTTACTTTGCTAAAGCACCGAGGATTACCATCTAAAATAACTCAATTTAGAGCTCTCACTTAAATGTCTTGGTTATAATTTGGAAATTGTAGCTATTAGCATGTGAAGAAATCAGACAATATTAATACAAAAATATATTCTGGTAGCGTAATGGTTATGAATCGGGCTGTGAACCTTAAGG